TTTATTACATATTATAGTACATTAAATGTAATTGTTCATTTTAATAAACCAATATATAGTAACCAGTAGTTACTAAACCAATATGAAATTAAGCAATACAACATTTTCATGGAAATGATATCTTTCCTTGCCAATAGGTCCATTCTCATTTCCTGTCTACGATTTTGATATGACCAAAGCATTGGTGCTGCGATAAAGAGGTAAAAATTTCAATACACACATTGTTCAAATATAAAAAAAGAGATACTAAGGTTTCTAAGTAATTGCTAACTGTTCGCCATTCATCTTACAAAATTTTTGTTTTCTGCCTCGTCGTTGCAGGTTGCTACTAGGAGCTATTGTCATGGATTTTCCTCAGTTCCATGAAATTGAACAGCTTACAAGTGATGCAATAAAAAACAAGTGATTGTGTGGTAATTGACATAAAAAGTGTGTTGGTGTGCCCCAGCAGGTACTTTGTAGTGGAGCCACCAGGCTATGGCCAACCTGAACTTTGAGCAGCCGCCACGCAGTACTGCGAACACAAGCCTTACATCGCGTACGGGTGGTGGGGGGGGCTTAAATTCGTCTACCCTGACAGGTCATGTCACACCTACGTCGGGCATGTTCTCAGGCTCGTCTACAAGCACTTCAAATTCAATCACTTCTGCGGTAGTAGTTACTAGCGTATATATCGGAGCCTCAGGAGCTGCAGGTGGACAAAGTAATCATCAACCTCAACAACAACAGCTCTCTCCTATGGGCAGTAGGGGTCTGTTTGGGCAGAGAGCTTTTACAGATAGACGTACAATGCCTGCTCTTGGGTTAGTTTCTAATTATGATTAATAGAACAACTTGTCAGTTGTAACATTAATGTAGTAATTTTTGTCATAATATATTTTGTTATATGTCTGTATTTATAGAAATATTTCATATGAAAAAAATTAAAAGTTTATACACATTTATAGAACTTCAAATCCAATGGGTAGCATGGGCACGTTTGGAATACCACAAAGTCGTAATTACGGATCTCAAGGACAAATAAATAATTTTCACTCTGTTTTTGGCAGTGGAGGAGGTGGAGATACAAGTACTCCTCCATTGTTGGATCTGTCTGAGTTTCCTTCGTTAACAAACAGAGGACAGGGTGATTCTATGCCACAACCTAGTCCCATGCCTGGCAAACAACCCTATGGTATGTATCAATAATTTTTCAAGTTTTAAAACACATGCTATTTTAGTATTTATGGACTATGAAGTTACATACGTAACAGACAAATGCCCTGGAAACTGAATTTCAATCAGTTTAAATTTCTGTTTGTATTGATTTTAATTGAACTTTCTCTTAAGTGTAAATGAATTTTACCTATGTTTTATTAATTGTTTATGTGGACTAATTTTAATTTTTAATACATTTGCCACATTTCAAAAAAACATTCAATGTAATTATGCAATATAATGATACTTTCACGCATTTAACAAAAATCTTACAACTCATTTGATGAATTTTATTTTCAAAGTAAAGTTATATTTTACTCAGGTATAGCCTAAATTCTTGTTT